CAACACATGCGCGCCCATCGTCGGTTCGCACGTCATCTGCCATCAGAATGAGGAGGACATGTTAGCGGTACTTGTCATTTTACGTATATTATTTTGTAACTTTTAACATCACACCACAACTCTGTCAACTGTCATTTAAACGTACAACTGGTTTTTTAGACATTCATTTGTCATCCTGGAGTAACTGTTTCCATTGTTGGAGCAGTAGGTTCATTTTGGCGTCACCAAACCCATCATCGTCCATTAACAGGTAGATCACAATGTTGGAGAGAGGTAGAGTAGCTGTGTAGTGTGCCATCTCTGCTGCCAAGGCATGGCCAAACTCCCGCCACTTTATCCTCCTCTGTGTGATTGAATATCTGGTGGTCCTCAGCTCCTGCCATTTCGTCCGGAGGCGTCCTTCATTTGCACCGTATATGTGTGATTTGTAAGCATCCAGAGGCGGCATCTTGATGCTGCATCGACTGAAGGGCCACCTTTCCGTTTTGGTGCTTGACTCTGGCTCTCAGTACCACGACAGAGTCAGCTTGTGGAGCTCTCTACTGTCTCTTTCTAGGATCTCGGCTTCCTCAAACGTCTTCGGCCGGTTTCCCGTTGAGTGACTTTCTGTTGGAGAGTTTGCGTGATCCCTTCCCATGGCTAACACTTGTTCAGCCACCTGCGTAAGGGGTAGACATTGAGCTTTTCCGAATTAATTGCCTTGCCTTCAACTCAAACAGATCAGATCAACAGTTCTAGGTCTTTCTGTGACTGTGAGCTGTTTTACCTTCCCGATTGCCTGTGAAGGGGCAGGAGACGGCTTCCCAAGCGTTTTTGATGTGCAAGGATAGTTCTCCGATATGCGGGTTCGATTGCCTGGAATATCTGTACCACTTGTGTTGCTTCAGCAACATCTAGCTAGCCTCCTCCAGGCTTTGCATTGTGACGAGTAATCTGTTAAGGTGACCGTCGGTTATACTGAGATTCACCGTGTGCCCTCAGAACGTAGTGCTGCAGGGACTGAGTGGACCGATTTGTCTGTGTATAGTAATGAATTATACATATCCGGTGCGACTTAACGATATTCAAGAGACGCTACTGACGCGTGGTTCTGTCTAACCACGAAGATGATGGGTGGGCCATGCTATAGCGGTCATTCGAGGGTCATGTGACTGAGTAACAGCCTCATCCTGTGCGAACTGCATCCATGTATGTCTTTGCTGTCTGTTCATTATTACCCCCGATTATGAGCTTGAGGGAGAACGTTGGAGTAAAATGATTGTCAGCTCAATGTACTGGACAACTTATAAACAACTATTTTGAACTGCACTTTTTGTATGTCTTGACACTATCATTATTTATCATTCCGCTTTGTTACTGTAATGCAGGTTGCGTTGGTCAGCCCTCAGAAGATTCGTGTTTGTCTGGTATTATTTTAGTTTTGGACAGCCTTCGTGCGTAACATGAACTCGAAGACCGTCCCTTTTTATCTGTGTGTGTCCGATCTGTTCGCGACTATTTTTGATCACAGGACTTTTGAGCGAATTTATTTTCCCATAGTGCGTAGTTTTGCTTGCATAAATGCGGTGGTAAGAAGTCATTGTTTTTCGTCGCTGTGTGACGGGCCTTTTTCATAAACACCAACCAACGCGGACTCAGTACATGGTGGGAGATATTCATGACACTCTTCTTTTGTTTGCAGCGTTGGGCAGCATTTGTACGTGAGGTGGACCCGGACATAATAACCGGCTACAACATGCAAAATTTTGACCTT